GCAGAGCAGCACAGATAGGAATGACTGCAGGGTGACTCAAAGTCAATCCACAGGTCATACTCTGTCAGCAGGATTCACAGCCAGCTATCTCACTAGGGCTGGACTGCAAGACGAAGCACAGGAACAACACCTCTGTGCTGCATTTTAAGAAAGTTGAACAAAAAGACTGAAGTCAATTCAGCTAGCAAAAAACAGACAAAAATAGTCCATGAGGTGGGATCTGCTTTCTGTAAGGGATCATATTACAGTTCCTCAGTTTAGTTCATTTATTTTAAATTATATATGTCAATTGAGTTATTCCCTGAAGCACATTTAAAATAAATTTCCAGATTAAGATTCAGTCAGGAAAAAAGAAATTAGATTGTGGTCCAGCTCTAAGTATTGGTCTCAGTGAAGACTTGAGCACGGAATGTGCTCTCCACAGACCATGACAGAATAATAGAATAGTTTGGGTTGGAAAAGATCACCTAGCCCATGCCCTCTGCAATGAGCAGGGACATCTTCAAGTAGATCAGGTTGCTCAGATAATTCTGGGCCCAGGATGTTTTGGGGTCTCCTGCTCCTGAAGCCTGCAATTGTTCTGAGGCCCTCTGGTCTCAAAACAGTGACTAAGGTCAGGAAAAACCCCACAGGATTTGAAGAGTTCTCTGTATTTTAAGTAATACAGTTCTTACAGATTATATTCATCCAGTGGTAGTGATTAGCCTGCACAGTGTATGGCTAAGTTATGTTCCTCATCTTCTCTCCTTTACATGGTTTTCCCTGTTATTCTCTCTCCTCCTCTTAGCACAGTCTGGTAATTTTTTCTACTGTATATTTACTAGTTTTCTAAATTTCTAAATATAGCTCCTCTCAACTCTACCACTCCTCCTACAGTTTTCCTGCGCCTCTGTTATATTATCTGTCATCCAGATCAATTATTTCTTTGCCTCCATGCCTCAGTAACACAGAGACGCATGGAATGGTCCAGGTTCAGATGGAGTTTGAAGGTCATGTCATGCACCCAGCCTGCAATGAGAATGGACATTGTACTTACTTCCTCCAGCCTAGGCACATGTGAGCCTTTGTCAGACCTAGCATATGCTGAGGACAGTCTCTGAAATCTTCTGAGAGGTGTGAAAGCCTACATAGCACAGAAGGCAAACTACACCTCCTGTTAGGAGAAGCTTGCCAAGTGCTAGAGCTCTCTAAGGTTATTCCCACCCCACATTCACTATATTTCTTCTGCATGTATTTCTATGCAAACGCTTTCTCTTCCCACGCTTGCCTCTGTACATATGTCTCCTAGCTGGTTAGAATTTGGCATCTGTGTTAGCAAAAAATTACCAACAAAGTAAACTGTGTTTGTGTTACTAGTGAGGCAGACAGACTTTATTTTGATAAACAAGGATTTCTGTCCATTGCAAAGAGACTGGTAGTTCAGAGCAATGCCTTCAGAATGGACAGGTTTCACCGAGGAGTGCAAAACACAGCAAACTGATGGGGAACAAACCAGCAGGATCAAGTCTGAAAGATGCCTCTACTGGAAAAGGCCATCAGGAGGAGGTGCCTCAGGCCCCTGGGAGGTACATCATTCAGGCTCATCAGCCCAGATAATGCCCATGTAGGAAAAATCTCCATACTTGCCAAGGTAATCTAGAGTGGGAAAGAATGGAAGAGAGTAAAAAGCCAAACAACAGAAGCATCAGGGTATGTGGGATGAAAATTCCAAACTAAAAAAATTTAAAACAACAACAACAACAACAACAACAACAACAACAAAAAAAAAAAAAAAAAAAAAAAAAAAAAAAAAAAAAAAAAAAGAGACTGGCATAAAAATAATGATTCAAACTCAGAGTTTATCTGAGATCTAATAGAGAAGCTATTTAAATATTGTCTCCCTCAGCTTTCTGCCTCTGCTCCTGAAGGTGTCTAAAAGGAATTTAAAAATAAAAATCAAGACAGAAGAAAAAAAACATGAACAAAAACAAGACTGACCTTTTTCTGTTTCCATGTAAACTTCCAAGAATATTGAGAAAGGTGCCAAACCATTTTTATGACTCAAAAACATTTCTTCTTCCCTTTGCATGACATTATCTCTTGTTTGCCTTCTATTTACTCATAACAGCCACAGTTTAAATAGACAATATGAGTTATGTTATTACATAATTTAAAGTCAGATACCTTGTGTTTCTCAAATCTGATAAAGAAAAGCAGACTTCTCTTAAAGCACACCGTGGCATGAAACACAAGTTTGTGGGTTTGGAGTCAAAACATTATTCTTGTTATCCTCACCAAGGTCTAACACTTGAAAGGGAAGTCCCACCTCATTCTCAGCAGGCGCCACCATAAATGTTTTTAACTACCTCCCCTTTTTCAGCATTTATTTTACTGATGGGATTTGTGTCCTGCTCTCCTCAGATTAAGACTAATTACTACCTCCTTTCATTGTGCAGTTTTTCCCAACCTTTTTTTTTTAAGAAGCTGCTCTTCTGTGAACACTGAATTAATACATTGCAAGCACATTGTATCTAGACTATGTCTTGACAGAGTGAACTAAAGGTCTGCTGGGGTGGCTGGGGTAAACACACAAAGCTGGGCCTCTTCCATCTCTTTCACTGAAGAAAAGACTCAAAACTTTAAATGAAACAAGCACTGACACTGAATATGCAAACCACAAGGCTATTTTACACTGCCACACTGCAAGAATCTGATTATTTTTTAGAAACTGGTACAAGCTCATACACAGACACCACTTCAGGAGATTCAGCAACTACTAAAATCTGAAAAATTCAAGTGCAAAATTTGGGAGAGTAAAAAAAATTAATTCTAGGCCTCCTTCATTCCTTTTACCTCAACAGCTCTGTCTCATTCCTGCAAATGCTCCAAGTGGTCCAGTCTACATAAAAAAAAAACCTACGAAAAAAATCTCTACTTAACATTTTTGCAGAGGTTTAATTCCAGGTGATGTATTAGTGTTCAGGATTAAGTAACTGCATAATAAATAGTGACAGGCATTTACAGGCCTTCAGAAATTTCGTGGTCAAGAAAGAATAATGTGTAGGATTAATGGCAGTTTGATCTGAATTCTGACAATCTGAAGGTTAAAGCCAAGGATTTTACTGCCACTTTAGACAGGCAGCCTTTTTTTCAGAGGGAAAATAGCCCCAAGTATTCTACAAGACAGTATTCCACATCATGTCATGTTTATCTGAAATTATCCCATCAATTTAGCAGCATGGCATATCTGACAGAACAAACATTTAATAAGGATACAATGTTTCTAAATTCAGTATCAGTTAACATATCATCATCCATTGCTTGAAATTTCAAATGCTCTTTTGTTTCAAGCCTGTAGCATTTGCTTGACTCAAACTGCTCCAGACAGCAGCTTATTAGTATTATTTATCCAGTAATGCAACTATGAACATCACACAATACATAAGTCTTTAGAGCTCAGTATCTAAAGATAAGTAGGATTAAAGCATGCTTCTTCATGTTATAAAAGCAATTTGTTCCTCAGAATTATTTTCCAGCTTGACTTGAAAGATTATCATAAATGGAAGGAAAGGGCAAGGGTAAAAAAAATGCCAGTGTTCAGACAGTGACATTGTAAAACTATATTCCTGTTTCAGGGATGTGAAATAATTCATAAGATAATACAACATACACTGTTTTCCATATGTCATATTTTATTCATGCCACTGGACAGATCCAGTTGTAACTAATCAGTGGAAAAGTGGAATGCAGAAACTGCAGAGATAATTCCAACAGCAGCTGTAATTAAAATTAAAAAAAAAAAAAAAAACAAAAAAAACCAGGAAAGTGGTTTCTGAACAAAAGGCCAGCAATTAGGACTTCCCAATGCTTTAAACCTATATGCAATATCTTTTGCTTTTTAAAAAAATAAAAAAATTTGTAAATAAAATCTCCGAGTAGGAAATCTGTCAGATAAAATTCTAAGCAGAGGTACCCTGACTTGAAGTGCCCACTCTCAGCTAGAAGCAACATCCGTTGTTAGAGCTGGTCCACATACAAATCAAAATGGGTTCAGCAAACCTCAAACTTTAAAGCCAAGCCAAAGGCTGTGTAGGCATTTCAGTGGGCAATCCTCTTCAGACAAAAAACCCTGTATCCGAATTCCTGCTATGATGTTGCTGAGGTACGTGGGGTGAGGACACACAGTACATACACAGTCAGCAGAGATGTGGAAGGAGACTGCAATTCAGGGAGAGAAATAGCACTGAGAGAAAGGAAGCAAAGCAGCTGGCTTAAAAGCCATTCCAACAAGCACTCAACTACATCAAGGTGTCTACTCCTGATTGAAATTTTTGCTCCAGTACAGTTCATGGGTACACAAAGACAAAAAGAATAGGTATGAGCAGCTATACCCCAGGCTAAAACCAGCTGCTGAATGACTGTAGGCCATTGGAGGCTCCAAGAATGAGACATCTGACAGCAGATATTTAGTTCAGTGCTAACACCAGAAGTACTCAGATTTTAGAGTTTTGATTTACATTTCTACTAGCACAATTGCCAGTGTGCAGTTTAGGCCATGCCTGAGAAGACTAAATCAATATTCCTTTCCTCGGATGTTTTGCCAATAAATTACTCCAGAAAATACCCTGAGCTTGCTTCATCAATTTCTGCTTTATAGGAAGTGAGCTGCTGTCCTTTGGCATTGGCAAAAGTATGAGAGTTTGTAGAGTATCTCAAGAGAAAAAGAAAGAGCCTGAATAACAATAGACAAAACATATTAAACAACCTGCTCTGACTTATTAACTTGAAATAAGATAGCCGCCAGCCATAAAGAATATTGGGGGTTTTAGATGTTCAGATCTGGGATTTCAGTTTAGGTTCAGAACAGGAATGTTCTCAAGGGTCCAAATTAGCAAAGCATTTCTTCTCATAATGAAACTTTGGCATAAGAGCTATATAATAGTTCTTAGCATCTCACTGGGTCAGGCAATGGTGTAGCAGAATACAGTGTCTGCTAGTTTTAATGGAACTCTGAACACCTCAGTTCTCAGTAGGTGTCACAGGGTCAAGTGAATGGAAACAAGAAGATATTAGGAAAGAATAAATCTGCTTCTTTCAGGTTTCAAACACGTTGAGAACTCCAAATTTGTAGTTCCTACACTTCATTTGGATAGGATGTTAAAATGCAAAAAGACTCAGAACACCACATGGACAGTTCACAGGCACAAAACAATGTCAGTAGGGGTAACATTTAAATAGATGAGCACTGAAGGGACAGTACAGGGCCTCTACTATGGTGACAATTGGACATGTTGGTCACTACTTCTTCTAATACAAGAACTACAAGGCACCAAATACTACTAGTGAAAAACAGGTTCAGGTCAAGCAAAAGCAGGTGACTCCTCACACAAGGCTGGTCTGTGAAATTACTGAGTAAAGGATGTGGTAGATGCCAGCAGTTTACTGTTTAAAAAAACAACTGGACAAATTCACGGTACAGAACTTTACCAACAGGTGTCAAGTGGGAAAAAAAATGGAAAAAAAAGCCCAACCAAACAACAGATCAAATACACTGACTTACAGTTCTCCAAATCATAAAATTGCTTAGGAAACTATTCTAAGAGAATATCACTAAGAATTGTTAAATTCTTCCCCAGAATTTTCTCTAATTAAAGACCAATTTTTCTTGCCAATGCAAGAAAACAACCTACAAAGACCTTAAACAGTACTCCATCCATTCTTGTGCAGACATCTTTCTTTTCAGCTAACAAAATCCTTCTAAACATAAGCATCATTTTCAATGCAATTGCTCATATATCAATTTCATAATGCTTCATTCACTCTGTCTTCCCCTTGCCTTCCCTTTCTCTCTTTTCAGATTAAGGAAAATCCAGATGGGGTGCAGGTGCTGCAAAATGATACAAAGGTATAACAGAACAAGAGTTGCTCGGACTGAATAAAAGAAAAGCATTAAACCATGTGTCTGTGCTCCCCCACACCTGTTGCTTTAATTAGCCACTGTAAAAGGTTGGAGTTTTCTCACAGTTTACAGCATCTTTAAGCATAGGCATATAGATTTCCTATGAAAGTCCTTTAAATTCACTGAAATTAAGGTCCACTTCTATAATTCCTACCCCACAAAAGGAATTATGTTGCATTGAAGACTCTTCTTTAGTAAAGTTTTTTCTGATTTAGGTAGCTTCCCTCAATTCAACAGAAAAATGAACTTCCCTTAATTCAACAGAAAAAGGGGCACACACTATGTCAGATCCCCCCTCTCTCCCAAGCAATGAAAATGAATGACAGTTCCTTGCTTCAATCATAGGTGTTAAATGTAGTTAGTTGGGAGAAGAATTCCCATATTAAAAGTCTCCCTAGAGAGGAGGACTAGCTAGTTTTATAAAGACCACATTTCAGCCCCACTTGAGGATTACTACTTCTCTTGGCCACTTCTGTAGAACAGGTAAGGAACTGGGGAGAAAATGGTGCTATGAGAGAAAAAAGAAAGATAAAGAAAAGAGATAGGTCTTGGGAGAGATAAGTCAAGGAAACTATAGAGCAAAAGGAAGAAAATTTATCAGGAGGGCAGAAAAAAAAAAAAAGACAAAAGACTTGAAAGAAGAAACTTGAAAGAAGAACACCAGGAAAAAATTGAAGATATTTTAGCAACAATATGAGTATGTATTAATTAACAATCCATGTTATGATTACTCATTGGCTAATCAGCTCCCCAGAGAAAATAAAAAATAAGGCTGGAAACAAGTAATGACAAGCACACAGTTCTCCAACCTCCTCCTTATGCTCCTGGTGAATCTCACTACAGGGATTAGTTATGATCAGTCCCAGGAGACAGCAGCCAACAGCATATTCAGCATTTCCATTCAGTTTAACTCATTCTCAAGACTCAAGGTAAAGTTCAGTGACACTCCTTCCTCAAGGAGTTTTTAACCTTCAGGTTAAAAACGAAGCTTAATCTTTTTTACTAATTATATTGATTAACATCATAAGTAACATTTCCTTTACAAATTTTCCTTACTCCAGCTATATCTTTGATCCAGAAGAAGGACAATCATCTGGATGCATTCATGAAGTAAACAGCTATAAACACAAAGAACAAGGCAGCAATAAATCCAAATTCAAAGAGAATAGTGAAAATGAAGAACCCAAAAATGAACTCCAGAAGGACGAGGTAAACAAAACAGAAAATAAAAATCCAGTAAACAGTACAACAGAAACTCTCTGGAATCACAGAGGCAATGATTCTCAACAGGATGGCCCTGTGAAGTGTGCTGCAAAGCTTGATGTTGCAGTCAATGGTGGCAACTCCTGTGCTCAGCACTCCATGCTCAACCCCAACACAAGCCCAGTGAAAGAAACCAGTGAAAAGGGAAACTCCAGCCAGTCAGAGGCTTCTTCAGCCAGCAATAGGGACTTTTACACCAAATCAAATAGGTCTGGACAAGAACCTGACCTAGAGACAGGCAGTCAGAGCAAGGCAGCCAGCAATGTGCCTAACAGTATTCCAGACTCCCAGTCTGCAGAAGACAGCATCTTTCTCAAAGGAAACTCAATATTGGAGACAGAAAACAATGCCATAAGACTGCCAGATATTGATTATCCCCAAAATGGCCATCAAACTGGGAACTATGTTGAAAAAGACAGCTTTTCAGTAAACTGTGCACATTCAGACCAAAACACTGGTGCTTCAGCAATACAGCAGCAGGACCTTCATGTAATCCCACCTTTGCCTGCGAAAGAGAGCAGTATTGAACCTTTAAAAACTGACTCTGCAAGTTTGAGTGAGAGCTTTACTGGTGGAATCACTGCAGTGGCTGTTACCAAAGTCGCACAGGCACCCCCACACACCAACCATAAAGATGTCAATGGAGGAATTGAGGAGGAAGATGCAGAAGTTGCAGCAGCTCTGGCTGCATTGGATGCTGCAACAGCAGGAGAAGACCTGGAAGATGATGATGATGAGTACTAGATGGTTTCTTTCTAATACACTGGGTAAGATCCAGATATTTCTGGATCAATATGAACATACATACAGCACACATGGAGAGCTGTTGTGAACAGCATATATAAAAGGAGTTGGGACTAAACCTCGGTCCCTTCAGCTGTTTTATGCAGCCTTTTAATTTCTACTGCCTGAGGTAAAGAAGTGCTTCCTTGACTAATGGCAATAGTCTTCTCTATGGGCCCAAACAGGAGGGCAAAGCATCATTTCTTCCACACAGAATATTCAGCTGTACACCCACCTCATCTGGACTCATGCAAGTGCTTCTTTTTTTTTCCTCATGAGGGTCTGTGCACGCTGCATGTTCCAGGTTCACAAAACTCCCATTATTTAAAATAGGACTACTGAAGCCATGAAGTTAGAAACCACAGATTTTCATCATTCACAGAAAAAAAATACAAGTGACCCAGAGTTCTATGATCTACTGAAACGTGAAATAGGGAAGGCAGCTTGGACTGAACTTTACCATGGCTATGGTTCCATTATGGATTAAGCCTAAATCTGTGCATGTGCACCTGGCATTAGAATGATAACATAATTTCTCCCCATACACCTCTCCCTTGACTGTGTTTGATACCCCAAGTGTTGCTGCTTCAGTTCCTTAAAACAGCAGAAGCTCAGCCAAACCCAAGAGAGTGGGTAACTTTCTGTTGATTTAATGTGCTAAAGTAGCTCATGGAATAAATGCACACACACTATCAGAGAGGCCAGAGAGAGCTCAAAACTCAGTCCCTACCAGTTTGAATAGATTAAAACTATTGCAAAACTACAGCCTGACATTTCTGAACTCCACTAAATTTTCGAAGTGCATGTCACCTGTTTAACAATACAGTTTTCAAACAGGCTGTGTCTCAAACATCCCCAGCAAGATGTGTTTTGTTTATACAAAAACAGCAAGATCCAATGTGGACTCTTCCTTAGCTCTGCTGTAGTTCCTAAAGGAAAGGGACCGAGCTTCCCAACTGGATTAAGCATAACATCTAAAAATTGTTGCATTCTTGGAGGGGCTGCATTTCTAATGGGAGAAAAAAAAAATTAGGTAGAGACCAATTTGGTGCTGCCAGTGCAGTAAAAGTATGGTTGAAATAGAAAGTGCTTGATATTTTATACTGAAATTTTGTGGTTCCCAAGTTTTTGTTATAAACTCCTAATAAATTTGAACCATATAAAAAATGATCAGGTGGCTTTCGAACTTCATGCATTTTCTGAATATAAAAGTTACATTAAATAAGTTCAATAAGATACAGCCCTCATTAGGTACGTGAAAAGCACCAACAATGTATTTGACTACAGTATATGCTGATTTTGATTTCTCAGAACATTAATGATACTCCTAGGAGCAATTAAAACAACCTAAAGTCTCAGCTTCTAGAGAACTATATTCATCTACAGGCAAGAGTCACAATATTGTATCTGTAAAATAAAAAAGCTTTATATGGTTATTAAGTATTGTAGTACTGTTGATTTCTCTACCACTTTCCTATTTTAATAGGTCCTTCTAAGCTTTCTCATAAGTGCATACAAGTTTTACATCAGCATTTGTCTTTCAAAGATTACTACAATGCTGAAAGTTGATGAAAGTGTCAGCACATTGCCAGTAGCGAGTTATGGTGAGTGTCACCATCCTGGCTGTCCCTGCCCGGGGCCCAGGACCCCATTCACTCCCCGGGGTGGCAGACCTGCCAGCCCAGCCATGGGCCCTGCTGGAGGTGCCTGGGCTGGGGCTGTCCTGGTGCTCTTGGCTGCCCCATGCCCTGGCTGGGACAGGGAGACAGACTCTGGCTCTAGGATCCAGCCTTGCTATCCCCGGGGAGCCTCTACTGCTCCCCACATCCCAGTCCCTGAGAGCCAGCAGCCCCTTGCTGCACCATGGCACTAACCATGAAAAACCATTCAGGTAAAAAAGATGTTAAAGAAAGAAATGTAACAAACACCCCAGAAAAACTTATCTGATTTTTTCAATATCCACTCAATTCGATTTTTCTAATATGAACTCTAGCTCAAGTGAAAATCACAGCAAGTTTCTCACCTTGCTCCCCAGGCATTAAAACATTAGAGGAGAGCCCCTGGTCAGACACAGCCCAGACAACTCAAACCAAGCAACTCTTCCATGGGCAACTGCCTGCAACCATGGGCCACCAGGCTGAAACCCTGTGCATGAGAGCAGCTGAGCCACAGAGTGCATGTCTTGTAGCTCAAGTTCTCATTGTCATAAATACAAGAGGGAAAACCCAGCATAAAGCAAGTCTATTCACTGCATTGGAAATAACTGGTAGGTATTCTCTCACGGGGAAAAAAAAAAAAAAGGGAAAAAAGTCTGGCATCTGCATATCTCATACCTACATCATATGGAAAGCTTCCATAAAATAAACCTATGGGGTAACATCAACATTCAGACTTCTTTTATCTACTAAGTAACAAAACCCAGTGTAGTTTTTAAATTAAAAAAGAAAAGAAAAACAAAAAACATTTGTATGCATTTTATATTTATGTATGTGCTTATATACCTTCAACCCTACCATGACACCACCAAGTGTTGGGAATTCTTAGCCATATTTCAGATTATGGCACAATTTTCACAATAAATGTGAAAGAATCACTTATTTAAGTAATAAGTTTTAAATGCCACACACAATTTCCTCCATAAAAATTAGATTTTAAACAATTATGTGACAACCAAATGTTAGTCCATCAGATGTTGATTCAAATAAACACAAACACTGCCAGCTTGAAGAATTCATTTTGTTCAGGCAATTGTGAGAGTAAAATTCAGTAACTTAAGAAAACAGAAAATCACAGAGAAAAAATGCTACAAGAAGCAAGAGTAAACTGTATTTTAAGATGTCTCTGAAAATCTATTTATTTTTTTAAGACACCCAGACACTGTAACTTCAGCTACCAATCAACTATGTTTCCTATATTCAGAGGGATCACTTATGAAATCTTTCACATATTTAAACCTTTCCATTTTCCTTTGATACAAAAAAATATGGGAGCTGGTTGGCCAATATTTATTATTATTAACATTTCTGTACTTGATGTAATCCTTTATAGGTAAGTGTGAAGACATATGTAGCAATAAACAACAGGCAATAGAATGGGAAACTATGATAGAATTGGTATTTTTATGAAAGCTTTTGCATCTTGGAAGCTCATGTTTTATTTGTTATTCTTCAAAGTCAGTAACAATTTAAAGGGAATTTGCAATCTTTCATATATAAGCAAAGAGACATTGAGGAAGACTAAGTTTAGCACCTTCACATTTGACAGCAGGTCAACCCTGGATTATTAAAAAAATTCAGATCACTGCAGAGATTTCACAAACGACAACAGGAGTGGAAAACAGCCCAGCTTACCCTCAAGGAAGTTAATTATTTCCTAGAGAAAACACAGCAAGAGTAGAACTCAAAACCCGGCACTGCAGAATTCTTCAGCTCAGCAAAGTTCAAACAAGCAAGCAGGAACCTGGAAATAATAAATTCCACAAAGATGGAGGTTCTTCCTTCCCTTATAAAGAACAAAGGTAATTGTTTGGGCAAGTGTTGTGTGGACACACACATTTAGAGTGCTAGGGAATTATAGCTTGGAAATTATTTTCAGGCCTGGACTTCTCCTGACTCTCAGGTCCATTCCCAGGCTGACAAGCTGACTACAGCTTCAGCTAGGGAGGAAATCTCCCAGGGTGATAACATGGTGAAAAACAGAGTGGAATTCATAATAAAGATTAACACCTGGTGTCTTTCCCGTGGGATACATCCTGAGGTACTGTCCCAAGGAAGTTTTTCCCAATGGTCCAATGAACTACTGTCCTGTCCTAGCTGCACATAACACACTTTAAATACGGGTTGTCCACACAATAAAGTTGGCCTTTTTTCCCCAAAGAGGCCCGTGTGTGTTGCTGTCCCTTCCCTCTCTTTGCAGCGCAGTGACCAGTGTTGCTATGGAGACTTCCCAATAAAAACTGAAATTCAGAAATAGAAAATCTTATTTTCTAAAAGATATTACAGATTTGATTGTTGAAGTAAAATATCATTTTAATCATTATTTGAAGGGTGAAACAAGAAACACTGACTTGGAAATAAAATTTAAAAATTAGTCTTGACCTTATGCTGTATTTGGAGTTTCAATTTTCTAAATGTGATTTAGTTTTCCAACAGATTAATTCTTACCAATGTGTCATCTTTTGCTAAATGAGAATACAGTATCTCAACATTTATTAAGGTCTATGTATTTGGTATTTCAAGTATTTATTCAAATGCCTATATAATACATTTTAATTACATTGAAACAATTAATCTTAATAGATTATTTCTCTGGAATTTTGGTATCACTTCTTGCATATAGATGGAAATTGAAATCCACTAAACTGCAGAAGAGCATCACTTCAAAATTAAATGTATTAAAACTTCTTTAACATGCTGAAAGCACAAGAAAGTTAAATTATGAAAGTCATTTCACATTAAAAACTAATTTATTTTTAAATGATTATGTTAATAAAACTTCTATTCAGACATTGCGTTCTACATTTTAGAACACAGATACCACAAAATGTTTAAGAGTAATTGTTAGAAGCAGATTAAAATTTTTTCATTGATCTTTTCAACATGAAATGCCCTTGGCAGAGACTCTTTTTCCTTACCATCATGAAATCAAACCAGAAACTCCCCAGTTTATTCTCTTGTTTTTCAAATTTCATGCATTCGCATGCACTGCTAGAGAGTCCTAGTCTTCTCCATCACCAATTTTACTTGGCATCTCAGGGAGGTTTATTTTTCAGCTTTCCTTCATCTTCAACCTTTGCAATTCTAAACTTCAGATGAGACAATCCCTGAACTGGACTTGTTGAGTAAGCAGAAAGCAGGAAATACTGCCTGCCCCTAAAAGGGTACTACTGCTGATCACTTCTGCAAATTCTGTCCCACCTACTTCGGGACTTTTTCCATTTCAAACTATGAACTGCTGAAAGTTTTGAAGAATCTAATGTACATCTTGGACTCTGTAATAAAAATTGAAATAGATTATAACAAATTAATGCCTTAACATAAGCAGCAATAACTTTTAAAGTGCTGGGGATTTTTTAAATGCCATTTTAACTTTTTAAAAATTGTTTAGTCTGATTTCAGAAAAGAATTTATTACATGTAGCTACTCCCTCACTCCCAACTCTCTCTCCTTTAGTCAGAGAAATGAAATATTCCCTTGTACAATTTAGTTTGGAAAGCAGGATTCTCTTAAAGAAGCAGGAAAAACGTCACTTCTCTTGATTTTGTTTCTAATGCAATTGTTGAAGTACACATCCCAGTCACCTCACTGATTGTGATCAAAACTAACGAGGTTACATCATTCTCTGATCTGAATCCTGTCTGAAATTATTATAAACAGGATTTAACAAGTTTTTGCTTTAATTCATGGGTCAATTACTATACACTAACAACTGAGAAACCATTGATTCATTCATTAACAAAACAAAAAAACTGAGAAGTCTTTCAGGAAATACAGCATCCCAGTATTATGTCAGGTTGAAGACAAGTTCTCAACCAATGCCACAATAAAACCACGTCACATGGAGACAGCAGTTTAAGTCATTTATTTGCTCATTAAGCTCCTTTCTGTTTACTCTAGCTAGAGATTAGCTTGATTATTATGAGGGTGCAGAAGCAGAGAGGAGAAAGGCAACACCCTCAGCTATTCACCTTAACCTCAAGCATGGCCAGATTTTCAAAAATCTGTAATCACATATCCTATCCCCTCCCTGCTCTTAGTATCTGGAGCCAGAACCAAGTAATTTACCTAGACTTTATGTAAAATTAAAGGAAGCTAAGTGACAAAGGCAAGATAACTACAAAGCAAAATGAATCTATGAATGAGATTAGAATTCTGTTTGGTATTTGAGGACAAACCATAAAGATCTGGCCAAGAATTAATAACTTAGGTTGTTTCCATCTCCCATCTCTTATTTGAGATCCTCTTCCAGAAATAATGTATTAAATAATTTAGGGGCGTTCCTCAGATTAGCTTTTTCATA